GCCCCATTCATTCTTTCCTTTACACAGATCAGTCGTCCTGGTCCCTTTGCAGAAAAACAGCCCCAAAGCATGATGTTTCCACCCCATGCTTCACAGTAGGTATGGTGTTCTTTGGATGTAACTCAGCATTCTTTGTCCTCCAAACATGACGAGTTGAGTTTTTACCAAAAAGTTATATTTTGGTTTCATCTGACCATATGACATTCTCCCAATCCTCTTCTGGATCATCCAAATGCACTCTAGCAAACTTCAGACGTGCCTGGACATGTACTGGCTTAAGCAGGGGGACATGTCTCGCACTGCAGGATTTGAGTCCCTTGCGGCGTAGTGTGTTACTGATGGTAGGCTTTGTTACTTTGGTCCCAGCTCTCTGCAGGTCATTCACTAGGTCCCCCCGTGTGGTTCTGAGATTTTTGCTCACCGTTCTTGTGATCATTTTGACCCCACGGGGTGAGATCTTGCGTGGAGCCCCAGATCGAGGGAGATTATCAGTGGTCTTGTATGTCTTCCATTTCCTAATAATTGCTCCCACAGTTGATTTCTTCAAACCAAGCTGCTTACCTATTGCAGATTCAGTCTTCCCAGCCTGGTGCAGGTCTACAATTTTGTTTCTGGTGTCCTTTGACAGCTCTTTGGTTTTGGCCATAGTGGAGTTTGGAGTGTGACTGTTTGAGGTTGTGGACAGGTGTCTTTTATACTGATAACAAGTTCAAACAGGTGCCATTAATACAGGTAACGAGTGGAGGACAGAGGAGCCTCTTAAAGAAGAAGTTACAGGTCTGTAAGAGCCAGAAATCTTGCTTGTTTGTAGGTGACCAAATACTTATTTTCCACCATAATTTGCAAATAAATTCATTAAAAATCCTACAATGTGATTTTCTGCATTTTTTTTCTCAATTTGCCTATGATGAACATTACATGCCTCTCTCATCTTTTTAAGTGGGAGAACTTGCACAATTGGTGGCTGACTAAATACTTTTTTTCCCCACTGTATACATGCCCTTCTGAAGTTTGCCAATTAACATCTGAATGATTCAGAGGAGAACTGGGGGAAATTGTTGTGGTCAGATGAGACCAAAATGGAGCTCTTTGGCATCAACTCAACTCGCCGTGTTTGGAGGAGGAGGAATGCTGCCTATGACCCCAAGAACACCATCCCCACCGTCAAACATGGAGGTGGAAACATTATGCTTTGGGGGTGTTTTTCTGCTAAGGGGACAGGACAACTTCACCGCATCAAAGGGACGATGGACAGGGCCATGTACCGTCAAATCCTTCCCTCAACCAGGGCATTGAAAATGGGTCGTGGATGGGTATTCCAGCACGACAATGACCCAAAACACACGGCCAAGGCAACAAAGGAGTGGCTCAAGAAGAAGCACATTAAGGTCCTGGAGTGGCCTAGCCAGTCTCCAGACCTTAATCCCATAGAAAATCTGTGGAGGGAGGTGAAGGTTCGAGTTGACAAACGTCAGCCTCGAAGCCTTAATGACTTGGAGAAGATCTGCAAAGAGGAGTGGGACAAAATCCCTCCTGAGATGTGTGCAAACCTGGTGGCCAACCACAAGAAACGTCTGACCTCTGTGATTGCCAACAAGGGTTTTGCCATCAAGTACTAAGTCATGTTTTGCAGAGGGGTCAAATACTTATTTCCCTCATTAAAATGCAAATCAATTTATAAAAATTTTGACATGCGTTTTTCTGGATTTTTTTGTTGTTATTCTGTCTCTCACTGTTCAAATAAACCTACCATTAAAATTATAGACTGATCATTTCTTTGTCAGTGGGAAAACGTACAAAATCAGCAGGGGACCAAATACTTTTTTCCCTCACTGTGTATATATATATATATATATATATATATATATATACTTTAGGGGGTAGATCAGCTTTAATATTTCAGATTGTAACTTCCATCAATGTAATCAATGTAATTGTCTGCATCACTTCCAATCCCCCATATGTTTTTTTTCTCGTAAATATATATATATACATACATACATACATACATACATACATACATACACACATTCATATACACATATACAGTGAGGGAAAAAACTATTTGATCCCCTGCTGATTTTGTACGTTTGCCAACTGACAAAGACATGATCAGTCTATAATTTTAATGGTAGGTTTATTTGAACAGTGAGAGACAGAATAACAACAACAAAATCCAGAAAACCGCATGTCAAAAATGTTATAAATTGATTTGCATTTTAATGAGGGAAATAAGTATTTGACCCCTCTGCAAAACATGACTTAGTACTTGGTGGCAAAACCCTTGTTGGCAATCACAGAGGTCAGACGTTTCTTGTAGTTGGCCACCAGGTTTGCACACATCTCAGGAGGGATTTTGTCCCACTCCTCTTTGCAGATCTTCTCCAAGTCATTAAGGCTTCGAGGCTGACGTTTGTCAACTCGAACCATCACCTCCCTCCACAGATTTTCTATGGGATTAAGGTCTGGAGACTGGCTAGGCCACTCCAGGACCTTAATGTGCTTCTTCTTGAGCCACTCCTTTGTTGCCTTGGCCGTGTGTTTTGGGTCATTGTCGTGCTGGAATACCCATCCACGACCCATTTTCAATGCCCTGGTTGAGGGAAGGATTTGACGGTACATGGCCCTGTCCATCGTCCCTTTGATGCGGTGAAGTTGTCCTGTCCCCTTAGCAGAAAAACACCCCCAAAGCATAATGTTTCCACCTCCATGTTTGACGGTGGGGATGGTGTTCTTGGGGTCATAGGCAGCATTCCTCCTCCTCCAATAACGGCGAGTTGAGTTGATGCCAAAGAGCTCGATTTTGGTCTCATCTGACCACAACACTTTCACCCAGTTCTCCTCTGAATCATTCAGATGTTCATTGGCAAACTTCAGACGGGCATGTATATGTGCTTTCTTGAGCAGGGGGACCTTGCGGGCGCTGCAGGATTTCAGTCCTTCACGGCGTAGTGTGTTACCAATTGTTTTCTTGGTGACTATGGTCCCAGCTGCCTTGAGATCATTGACAAGATCCTCCTGTGTAGTTCTGGGCTGATTCCTCACCGTTGTCATGATCATTGCAACCCCACGAGGTGAGATCTTGCATGGAGCCCCAGGCCAAGGGAAATTGACAGTTATTTTGTGTTTCTTCCATTTGCGAATAATCGCACCAACTGTTGTCACCTTCTCACCAAGCTGCTTGGCGATGGTCTTGTAGCCCATTCCAGCCTTGTGTAGGTCTACAATCTTGTCCCTGACATCCTTGGAGAGCTCTTTGGTCTTGGCCATGGTGGAGAGTTTGGAATCTGACTGATTGATTGCTTCTGTGGTCAGGTGTCTTTTATATTCATCTAGATTTGTTGAATGAGTTTCTTGTAAACAATAGATATTATATTCCTTCTCTTGGAGCCATGTAAATATTGTTCTTCTTTTGTTATTATCTGCCATTACAATTATAACTGGCTATACTTATTTCACCACATACCATAATGGGATACAAGTTTCAAATCTATTTATCATTATATATGTTTGTAAATGTACCAATAAAAAATACCATAGCGATTGACTGTCCATATAGCTGTACCATGATATTTGCATTGCTACTAAGTAACCCTCCAATTGTTCTCCACTATTTCCCCCGCTAAAGCCCGTCCCCATCCCAAGTTGGGCCGTCATCCCAGTGTTCAGCATACCACCCCCGTCCCCCCGAATCCCTAGGCCCCCGAGAGGCCAGGACCCATCCATCAAAAACAGCACACAGTGCCACCCTCAAAACAGAAGCAGGTCAACCGCCAAAAGCATTTCCAATGCTCTCACCTCAATAAATATATAAATATATATATTTATATATATATATATATAGCTATTTAAAAATATATATCCATTCAAATATCTTGCATATCTTATTTTCCATCATTATCGATTAATATGCGTAATAATGTTCATGCATAGGATTTAAACCTATAACCATCAATAATTAATTACTTTTTTTAAGGATGGTTTATTGGTGTTAGAATACAGCAGTAATGCTATTTTGGACCACCAGGCTGCTGATGTCATGCAGCCTGTCGTTTTTGTGTGTATACTTTTTCATAACGACAACGATAAGTATGATGTCGAATGACAATAGAATGTTCATGATGTCACTGCAACAACTGTCGACAGACAAACTGAAAACCAGCCTTAAGGTGTATGGCAGGCCAGTAACCTTTGCAACCAAATTATTTTACTGTGCATGGTTGCACACAGACTTTTATGGTCACACAAGGTGCCACCGGTGGATTCAAAATATATTAGGCCTATTATGTCATTTATATGCTCATTTGAGTCATGTCTTTGTCCGGTGTCCAATATGTCATGTCTCCATTCCATGCCTCTAAATAGGCAATATTATAGCCCTATTATTATAAATGTATTACGCTTAGTGAAGAATGTTATCCATATAAAACAAATGTCATTTCTCAATAACATTCCAATTTCCATGGCAGCCATGTTCTCCTTTTAAATGTTATTTATTTTTTCAAGTAGGTTACATAGATTAACAAAATGTAAATGTTGTACCCTTAATAATCAGTGCTGAATGATGTATGACATCTCTAACATAAATGTCAGCAATATTCTCTCCATAAGCATTGTTCTCACTCATTCTCAACAGTGAGGAGCGAGCCAAGAAAAAGGAGGCAGATGCTGAAGGCTTGCCTCATCTCTTCTGCTGCTTTCCAGGACACACGAGATAAATGCTGCATAATAAGTCACCAGGAAGATAGAATAATGTTTTACCCCTCAGCCAGAAGGCTCCCCACTTTTGGAAAAGAAGGAGGCAAATAGCTGGAGTCTTGCCTCATCTCTATTGCTGCTTCCCAGGACACACAGGATATATATTGTTCCACTAAGAAGGCTGCAGATGACATGGACAAGCTGCTCAACCACAAAACAATGGGGGATTTTAAACTAGTTCTCCTCATTTTAAGCTACTTTCCCACTGATATGAAACTCATGTGACAGAGTGGGCCCATGCCATGCTGAGGAGACAGAGAACTGACTCTCTTCTAACTGTTTTGCTGTGGCTTCTCTTCTTCATTGCCATGACAATGAAACAGGCTTATGGACAAGCCATTTGCAGTCAAGAAATTCACCAAATTGTGCGAAAATTCATTAAGGAGGAAGTTCACAAGATGGTAATAAAATGTTTTCAGTAAAAAAATAAAACAACATATTACCTCATTAAATATACACTGAGTGTACGAAACATTAGGAACACCTTCCTAATCTTGAGTTGTGCCCCCTTTTTCTCCCAGAACAGCCTCAATTCGTCGGGAATGGACTTTACAAGGTGTCGAAAGCGTTTCAAAGGGATGCTGGCCCATGTTGACTCCAATGCTTCCCACAGTTGTGTCATGTTGGCTGGATGTCCTTTGGGTGGTGGACCATTCTTGATACACACAGGAAACTGTTGAACGTGAAAAACCCAACAGCGTTGCAAGTTTTGACACACTCAAACCGGATTTAACAAGTGACAACAATAAGGGATCATAGCTTTCACCTGGATTCACCTGGTCAGTCTATTTAATGGAAAGAGCAGGTGTTCCTAATGTTATGTACACTCAGTGTCTGATGGAATACAATCAAATCACTGTACAATCAACATCCATCTGTTTCAGCACACAGTTTCAATACTTTTTGACTGTTTGTTTTTATGTTTACATTATCCAGATAGTGTTGTAGCCTATATTATTCTCTCTCTTACCAGGAATCATTTGATTGCAGGCTGTACACCCCAACTTTAGCTGATTATAAGGTATGTGGTTTCTTTTTATGTGTTATTTCTGCATACCTGTAAGGGTTGGTGTGAGGTGTGACCCAGGTGCGGTGCAGGATATACAGTAGGCAGTAGGCAGAGATGGTGAAACAAGGATCTTTACAGGTGGTCCCGAAGCCAGAATACAAAATAACGGACCTAGCACAATAAAAGAAAGGCAGAGCAAATAATTCTCCATAAACCGTCTGACAGCCAAAATACGAAATACTACCTAAGACTGAAACAAATAACGAAACAGGGAGAACACTTCTCAAGTACCTGTTCATAGGTCTCCGATCAGACACTGCGTAGTACTGCTGGACATAGAGAAACTAGCAGAGAAAACTGAGCAAAGGAACACAGGGAAGTGAGGGCATAAATACACAGGTGAACAGGTGGGCACAGATGACACCGATAAGATAATGAGTAGTCCAGACTGTGAGTGAGGAGGTGCCTAAGGTTGTCGGAGGATGACACCTAGTGGGTGCTCCGGCACTGCGACCCCCTCCTGTAACAGTGCCCCCCCAGCTGTTCACCTCGGCGCATCCGGGTGGAGGCGACGGAATGTTGTTAACAGCCCTGGGTCCAGAATGTCCCTCCTGGGCACCCAGGACCGCTCCTCCAGTCCATAACCCTCCCAGTCCACCAGAAATTGGAGACCCCTCCCCACCTGCCGGCAGTCCAGGATCCGGTCCATAGTAAAAGCCAGCTGTCCTCCAACGAGGCGCAGCGGGGGAACAGGATGAGGAGGGGGAGCCAGGGGACTGGTGGCGACGGGCTTGAGGAGGGACACATGGAATGTGGGATGCACCCGCATGTTGGGGGAAGTTGCAGGAGGTAGGCCACTGGGTTGACTTGCCGGACCACTCTGAATGGCCCAATGAACTGGGGGGACAGCTTCCTGGACTCCACGCGGTGGGGAAGATCCCACGTGGAGAGCCACACCCTCTGTCCCGGGTGAAAAACCTGCCTCCAGGTGCGGCGACAGCGACTGATGTGGGCCTGGACCGACGGGAACGCCGGCTCCTCCTCTTGCTCAGGGAATAGGGGGGGGGTTGGTACCCGTATTGGCACTGGAAGGGGGACAGGCCGGTGGATGAGCAGAGAAGGGTGTTGTGGGCGTACTCCACCCACGCCAGTCGCTGACTCCACGTAGCTGGGTTGCTGGAGGCGTAACACCTCAGCACCCCTTCCAGATCCTGGTTGACGCACTCAGTCTGCCAGTTCGACTGGGGATGGAAGCCGGAAGACAAGTTGACAGAGGCGCCGAGGCAGGTGGCGAATGCCTTCCAGAACCTGGAGGTGAAATGAGTGCCCCAATCCGACACCACATCTTGGGGAAGGCCGTGGACCTGGAAAACGTGCCGCACCACCAACTTAGCCATCTCCCAGGCCGACGGGAGTTTGGGAAGGGGAATGAAGTGGGCAGCCTTCGAGAACCGGTCCACAATGACCAGGATGACTGTGTATCCATCAGAGGGGGGTAGGGTGGAAATGAAATCCAGCGAGATTTGGGACCAGGGGCGCTTGGGGATAGGCAGGGGTCGGATCAGCCCTGCCGCGGGCTGACGTGTACTCTTCATGCACGCGCACACCTGGCAAGCCGCCACGAATGCGCGCGTATCCCCCACAGTAGATGGCCACCAGAACCTCCTACACAGGAACTCCAACGTCCTGGCACCCCCCGGATGGCTGGTGAGGTCGGACGCGTGCGCCCTCCCCAATGGACCTCCGGCCGGATCGGGTTCTTGACCATCCTGTCAATTCCCCACAAAACTGGGGCAGTAATCAGGGCGTTGGGGACAATGGTCCACGGTATGAGACGGTAAACCGGAACCTGGTGAAGAACAACGCCCACCTGGTCTAGCACGAGTTGAGCCTCTTGGCCCCCTGAATGTAGGCTAAGTTCTTATGGTCCGTCCATATGACGAATGAATGGGCGGCACCCTCTAGCCAATGCCTCCACTCCCCCAGGGAGAGCTTGACTGCTAGCAACTCATGGTTCACCACGTCGTAATTCTGCTCCGCCGGGGACAGCCGACGGGAGAAAAACACGCAGGGGTGAGTCTTACCGTTCGGGAGGAACTGCTGGGACAGGATTGCTCCCACCGCAACGTCTGAAGCATCCACCTCCACAATGAACAGCAGGGACGGATCAGGATGCCCAAGGACCGGGGTCGATGTAAAGCACCATTTAAGCACATCAAATGTGTTCCCCGCTTCCGGGATCCTGGCGAAGGAGCGCACGCTCGTCTGGGTGAGGGCTGTCAGGGGAGCGGCTAGGGAGCTAAAATTGCGAATAAATCGCCTATAAATATTAGCGAACCCTAAGAACCGCTGTAGTTGCTTGAGGGATGAGGGCTGGGGCCAATCCAGTACCGCGCTGACCTTAGCTGGGTCCATCCGTAGGTCCCCCTGGGTGACGATGAACCCCAAGAAGGAGACTGTCTCTGTGTGGAACACGCACTTCTCCGCCTTGATGTAGAGCTGGTGACGGAGAAGGCATTGGAGGACTTGCCGAACATGCTGCTGGTGTTCACTCATGCATGTCCTTTGGGAATATTAGAATGTCAACCAAATACACGAAGACGCTGTAGTTGAGGATGTCCCGGAGCACGTCATTGACCAACGCCTGGAACATCGCAGGCGCGTTGGCTACACCGAACGGCATGACTTGGTACTCGTAATGCCCACTGGCTGTGTTAAAAGCCGTCTTCCACTCGTCCCCCTCCCTAGAATGAAGCATGTGTTAAAAAATACACTCCGAATCATCCATTCTGTTTGCAACAAGGCCGTTAGCTAATACTGAAAGACAACACAGAAAATAACTTTTGGGCCTGAGTTAAAAACTACAGGTTTGGGTGAAATCCAATACAACACAACAGAGTGAAACCCTCTGTATTGTAAAGTGTTGTGGGGGCAGCATCATGTTATTGGTATGCTTGTCACCGGCAGGGACTGGGGAGTATGTCAGGATCAAAATAAATATGAAAGGAGAAGCACAGGTAAAAAGCTAAAGGAAAACCCGCATCAGACTTCTGAATACCTAACCTTGGGATAGTTTTATTTTTCAGTGGGACAATTAGACACATGTTAATGTCAAAGACACACCAGAAGAGTTTTCCAAGAGGTGTTGAGTGTTCCTGAGTTGTCCAGTCTCAGTCCTGACTTAAATTTGCTTGAAAATCAGAGACATGGTTTGAATATTAGTGTCCATCAAGGATTCCCAACCAACATTAGTGAGCTTGAGCAATTTTGCCAATTTTGACATTTTCGACATTCTGTTGTGTTACAGCTTGAATTTAAAATTGATAAAAAAATACATTTTTTGGGTCACAGGCCTACACACAATACCCCATGAAGTGGAATAATTGAAATGTATTAAAAATGAAAACCTGAAATGTCTTGAGTCAATAAACATTCAACTCCTTTGTTATGGCAAGCCTAAATAAGTTCAGGAGTAATAATGTGCTTAACAAGTCACATAAATTGCATAGTTGGTTTTTGAATGACTACCTCATCTCTGTACCCCACATATACAATTATCTGGATGGTCCCTCAGTCGAGCAGTGAATTTCAAAGACAGATTCAACCACAAAGACCAGGGAGGTTTTCCAATGCCTCGCAAAGAAGGGCACCTATTGGTAAATGGGTTTTAAAAAAAAGCTGACATTGAATATCCTTTTGAGCATGGTGAAGTTATTAATTACACTTTGGGTGTCCTTCCTAACTCAGTTGCCGGAGAGGAAGGAAACCATTTAGGTTTTCACCATAAGGCCAATGGTGACTTTAAAACAGTCACAGTTTAATGGCTGTGATAGGAGAATACTAACCTAATTGACAGAGTGAAAAGAAGGAAGCCTGTACAGAATACAAAATATTCCAAAATATGCATCCTGTTTGCAACAAGGCACTAAGGTCATACTGCAAAGAAATGTGGCAAAGCAATTCACTATATGTCCTGAATACAAAGTTTTATGTTTGGGGCAAATCCAATAAAACACATTACTGAGTACCACTCTCCATATTTTCAAGCATAGTGGTGGCTGTAACATGTTATGGGTATGCTTGGAATCATTAAAGACTGGGGAGTTTTCAGGATAAAAAATAAACGTAATTGAGCTAAGCACAGGCAGAATCCTAGAGGAAAACCTGGTTCAGTCTGCTTTCCACCAGCCACTGGGAGATGAATTCACCTTTCAGCAGGACAATAACCTAAAATACAAGACCAAATCTACACTGGAGTTGCTTATCAAGAAGACAGTGAATGTACCAGAGTGGCCAAGTTGCAGTTTTGACTTAAATCTGCTTGAAAAACTATGGCAAGACCTGAAAATGTGTGGAAAAGCTCTTAGAGACTTACCCAGAAAGACTCACAGCTGTAATCACTGCCAAAGGTGATTCTAACATGTATTGACTCAGGGGGTTGAATACATATCTAATCAAGATGTATTAGTGTTTTATTTTCATAATTTTTTTACAAATGTTAGAATTTTTCTTCCACTTGGACATTACAGAGTATTTTGTGTAGATCGTTGACAAAAAAATTACAATTAAATCCATTTTAATCCCACTTTGTAACACAACAAAATGTGGAAAAGGTCAAGGGGTGTGAATACTTTCTGAAGGCACTGTATGTTGCCCCAAGAGTTGTACAAAGTTGATAGAATCTTATTCAGAATTATTCACAGCTGTAATGGCTGCCAAAGCTGCTTCCACCAAGTATTAACTTTGGGGTGTAAAGACATACAGTATGCAATCAAGACATCTTTTTTTTTTTTATTAATTTGGGAAATGTTCTATAATTTTCTTTCACTTTGAAAATGTGGAGTAGGTTGTGTAAATCTGTAGGAATAAATCCAGTTGAATCCCTTTTTAGATTACGTTTTAAGGCAGCAAAATGTGAAGACTGCAAAGGGAGTGTAGGCTTTCAGTAGCCACTGTATATGACAAAATATGGAGACATATAATAAATGACACTCATTGCGCTGAAGGTTAGACAATATTGAACTATAATTGTATGAATTTATCATCCTGGGTTAGTTAACTGAACTGTTTGGAGGCTTCCATGCTCAGACCTGATTATTTATTATTTAGATGTATGAATTATTTACATTTACGTCATTTAGCAGACGCTCTTATCCAGAGCGACTTACAAATTGGTGCATTCACCTTATAGCCAGTGGGATAACCACTTTACAATATGTTTTTTTTTTTTTGGGGTGGGGGGGGGGGGGGGGGGGGGGGGGGATTACTTTATCCTATCCCAGGTATTCCTTAAAGAGGTGGGGTTTCAAGTGTCTCCGGAAGGTGGTGAGTGAGTCCGCTGTCCTGGCGTCGTGAGGGAGCTTGTTCCACCATTGGTGTGCCAGAGCAGCGAACAGTTTTGACTGGGCTGAGCGGGAACTGTGCTTCCGCAGAGGAAGGGGGGCCAGCAGGCCAGAGGTGGATGAACGCAATGCCCTCGTTTGGGTGTAGGGACTAATCAGAGCCTGAAGGTACGGAGGTGCCGTTCCCCTCACAACTCTGTAGGCAAGCACCATGGTCTTGTAGCAGATGCGATCTTCAACTGGAAGCCAGTGGAGTGTGCGGAGGAGCGGGGTGACGTGAGAGAACTTGGGAAGGTTGAACACCAGACGGGCTGCGGCATTCTGGATGACTTGTAGGGGTTTAATGGCACAGGCAGGGAGCCCAGCCAACAGCAAGTTGCAGTAATCCAGACGGGAGATGACAAGTGCCTGGATTAGGACCTGTGCCGCTTCCTGTGTAAGGTAGGTTCGTACTCTCCGAATGTTGTAGAGCATGAGCCTACAGGATCGGGTCACCGCCTTGTTGTTAGCAGAGAACGACAGGGTGTTGTCCAGGGTCACGCCAAGGCTCTTTGCACTCTGGGAGGAGGACACAACGGAGAAATCAACCGTGATGGTGAGATCATGGAACGGGCAGTCCTTCCCCGGGAGGAAGAGCAGCTCTGTCTTGCCGAGGTTCAGCTTGAGGTGGTGATCCGTCATCCACACTGATATGTCTGCCAGACATGCAGAGATGCGATTCGCCACCTGGTTATCAGAAGGGGCAAAGGAGAAGATTAGTTGTGTGTCCCATTTATAATGGGCTTATAACTCGAAAGCATTTTACATTACATGAAGGTAACTCTCCTCTCTCACCACCAAAGAAATAGACATATTTGGATCTGTTAAATCTGATCTGGATTCTTCCAGATGTTTTACATCCATTGTTTGAGTTTCATATTATCCCCTCTTCTCTTCAGCAGAAATGCCCCAGGTCCACACTTGAATGCTTTACAAAAGAAGTGAAGGTCCTGGTGTTAGAGTCTAGGAACAAGTCCTCACCCTTACACAAGAACAAACTAACCAGACGAATGATTTACTTGACGTCCTTGATAAAACAGGTAAGCCAATCAGTGTGAGGGAGACACAGGTCAGCTACATTTGATGTGCATTGAGATGTTTTTGATTCTACCTTGTCCTTTGGCTGTCTGAGTATAGTTTAATTCCAGCTATAGAGCATATTGTTGTCTAGGTAAAAATGGAGAGAGTCTGAATAGATGATTTGGACTCCCATGTTGCTGTTTGCTTTTACTATAATTATTCTCAGACAGTTCTCACACATTTGTTTAACATTTTACATCTGTGTTTATAAGAGAAACGTAAGCCTCATGCCGCCATTGACTAATAGCATATATATTTTAAGATACAAATGGAATAGTTGAGAAATTCCAGCGGTACTAAGGCTGTGTTTACACAGGCAGCCCAATTCTGATATTTTGCCCATTATTGGCCAAAGAGCTGGTCTGATTGTTCAAAAGACCAATTAGCACTGGGATTCGAACCGGCAACCCTCCGGTTACTGGCCCCTTTCTATGATATATATACTAATCAACTGAAATTCCAAACTTTGAACAAGCATATATCCTGTCCCGTTTGATCTACAGTCATGGCATATAAACTCAGCAAAAAAAGAAACGTCCTCTCACTGTCAACTGCGTTTATTTTCAGCAAACTTAACATCTGTAAATATTTGTATGAACATAACAAGATTCAACAACTGAGACATAAACTGAACAAGTTCCACAGACATGTGACTAACAGAAATTGAATAATGTGTCCCTGAACAAAGGGGGGGTTAAGTATCTGTTGTGGCCACCAGTTGCATTAAGTACTGCAGTGCATCTCCTCCTCATGGGCTGCATCAGATTTGCCAGTTCTTGCTGTGAGATGTTACCCCACTCTTCCACCAAGGCACCTGCAAGTTCCCAGACATTTCTGGGGGGAATGGCCCTAGCCCTCACCCTCCGATCCAACAGGTCCCAGACGTGCTCAATGGGATTGAGATCCGGGCTCTTCGCTGGCCATGGCAGAACACTGACATTCCTGTCTTGCAGGAAATCACGCACAGTACGAGCAGTATGGCTGGTGGCATTGTCATGCTGGAGGGTCATGTCAGGATGAGCCTGCAGGAAGGGTACCACATGAGGGAGGAGGATGTCTTCCCTGTAACGCACAGTGTTGAGATTGCCTGCAATGACAACAAGCTCAGTCCGATGATGCTGTGACATACCGTCCCAGACCATGATGGACCCTCCACCTCCAAATCGATCCCGCTCCAGAGTACAGGCCTCAGTGTAACGCTCATTCCTTTGACGATAAACGCGAATCCAACCATCACCCCTGCTGAGACAAAACCGTGACTCGTCAGTGAAGAGCACTTTTTGCCAGTCCTGTCTGGTCCAGCGATGGTGGGTTTGTGCCCATAGGAGAAGTTGTTGCCGGTGGTGTCTGGTGAGTACCTGCCTTACAACAGGCCTACAAGCCCTTAGTCCAGCCTCTCTCAGCCTATTGCGGACAGTCTGAGCACTGATGGAGGGATTGTGCGTTCCTGGTGTAACTTGGGCAGTTGTTGTTGCCATCCTGTACCTGTCCCGCAGGTGTGATGTTCGGATGTACCGATCCTGTGCAGGTGTTGTTACATGTGGTCTTTCACTGCGAGGATGATCAGCTGTCCGTCCTGTCTCCCTGTAGCGCTGTCTTAGGCGTCTCACAGTACGGACATTGCAATTTATTGCCCTGGCCACATCTGCAGTCCTCATGCCTCCTTGCAGCATGCCTTTGGCACGTTCACGCAGATGAGCAGGGACCCTGGGTATCTTTATTTTGGTGTTTTTCAGAGTTGGTAGAAAGGCCTCTTTAGTGTCCTAAGTTTTCATAACTGTGACCTTAATTGCCTACCGTCTGTAAGCTATTAGTGTCTTAACGACCGTTCCACAGGTGCATGTTCATTAATTGTTTATGGTTCATTGAACAAGCATGGGAAATAGTGTTTAAACACTTTACAATTAAAATCTGTGAAGTTATTTGGATTTTTACTAATTATCTTTGAAAGACAGGATCCTGAAAAAGGGACGTTTCTTTTTTGGCTGAGTTTATGCAGCCCCTCGTAAGCAACACGTTTCCTATTTTTCATTTTAGTCATTTAGCAGACGCTCTTATCCAGAGCGACTTACAGTCGCTCATACTGGCCCCCCGTGGGAAACGAACCCACAACCCTGGCATTGCAAGCGCCATGCTCTACCAACTGAGCTACACGGGACATTTGCACTTTTATGGAACAAAGTGAAAACCAATTTCAGAATAGTAAGAAATACACCAGCCAAAGTTTGCAAAATGATTATTCTGTCATCCTTTTTGCTAAAAATGTAAAGAGCATCAACTCAAGTCCTTTAATAATATACAATAAGCAGGTAAACAAATGAAAACCTCCTCAACAAAAGCCACAGTCCAACTGGAATTTCAATTCCGTTGAGATTTTCTGCAAATTATACTTTTTGTCCCACATCAAACTTTGAACAAGCATATCTCCTGCCCCGTTTGAGCTTCAGTCCATGTAATTTTGCATATACATGGACGTTTGTTTCCCATATGTTTTTCCAAAAAAGGCCCAATAAACTCTGCGCAATGATTAAGGTCACTCCGATTGACCACATGGTGGCTTAATTGTGGCTATTGCATGCTTGGCCCCCAGAATTGCTGCTTGTAGCTATATTTTTCTATAACTGATATTCAGATTTAGACCAAATAAGTAAAGCATAACACCACAGCTCTGATGACATATCTACCTTTTCTTTTCATTGTTGACTCAAGTATGACATTGGAAACCTTGGTTAAAAAGACTGACAAAAAATGTCATGGCTGGCATTAGGCAAATTAACATAAATGTGCCTGCATTAGATATTCTCAATATAGTTTTGTTTTGCGAATACTTGATAATAATTTAAGGTGAGTATTCAAACAGTGAAATAATTTAAAATGCCCTAGTATCATCTTACATGCCTACTGTAGAGACCATTTGCATAAGTGTAAATGATAGAGACTGGTAGATCGATGTGAATATTTAACTGTCAATTCATTGACATCGACCATTATGTTACTATCAGTCTGATCTCATTGGCCCTATCTCTTTCTGTGTGTTCTAACTAGTACTTAAAATGTTATCATTATTGCATTATTATAATATTTAAATAATGATTTCTCTGTCTCTCTCGCTTTCTCTCACTTGCTGTATCATAGAGCCTCTCTTTTTCGACAATGTTATGCCTATGTTGTGAGTGTTTTCCTCTCTGTATTGCAGGCGAATGGTGCCAACTGTCCACACTGTGAGGTCCACAGAGAACAGGCAGTAAACGATTTCTTAACAACATTACTAGACATTCTGGAGTGGATGAACAATCAGGGGTGTCGGTAGCCAGCCAGCCACTGAGATGTACACACACATCCATAGCCAGGAACATCCAAGGACTCACATAAGGGCAGAAGGCTACCTGAACAATTGCTAGATGTAGCAAAATACTATACAGTGCATTCGGAAAGTATTCAAACTCCTTGACTTTTTCCACATTTTGTTACGTTACAGCCTTATTCTAAAATGGATTCAATTGTATTTTCCCCCTCATCAATCTACACACAATACCCCATAATGACAAAGCAAAAACTGGTTTGTAGAAATGTTTGCAAATTTATAAAATAAAATAAACTGAAATATCACATTTACGTAAGTATTCAAACCCTTTACTCAGTACTTTGTTGAAGCATCTTTGGCAGCGATTACAGCCTTGATTATTCTTGGGTATGACGCTGCAAGCTTGGCCCTCCTGTATTTGGGGAGTTTCTCCCATTCTTCTCTGCAGATCCTCTCAAGTTCTGTCAGGTTGGATGGGGAGCGTCGCTGCACAGCTATTTTCAGGTCTATCCAGAGATGTCCGATCAGGTTCAAGTCCAGGCTCTCGCTGGGCCACTCAAGGACATTCAGAGACTTGTCCCGAAGCCACTCCTGCGTTGTCTTGGCTGTGTGCTTAGGGTTGTTGTCCTGTTGGAAGGTGAACCTTCGCCCCAGTCTGAGGTCCTGAGTGCTTTGGAGCAGGTTTTCATCAATGAGCATGGTTCTTTATTGAATCTTCAAAAAAGGGTTCTATATAGCACCTGGCGCTATTTAGAACCTTTTTTGTGTGTGTGTAGTAGGTAGGGATGGGAGTTGCCAGGGACCTCACTATGTATTGATACTTAGATGTTGATATGATATGCAGTGGCGACCCGTCATTCAGGGCAGGTGGGGCATAGTCCAACCTGTTTTGAGACCCACCTGTTTAGCTTTTCTTTTTTTTGCCTGTTTTGCATGTTATTTTGGCATTAATACGTGTCACATATCAGTTTGCAAACAATGTACAAACAAATCTTTGAGTTAATAAAGCCTCATACAAACATGGTCTCTTTTTTGCTTTCTTGAGTAAGGCAGCTCCAAAATACAGGTGTTTCAGCCTAGCTCAGTGCTTTCCATTTTACATTTTAGTCATTTAGCAGACGCTCTTATCCAGAGCGACTTACAGTTAGTGAATACATTTTTTTTTTTTATACTGGCCCCCCGTGGGAATCGAACCCACAACCCTGGCGTTGCAAACGCCATGCTCTATCAACTGAGCTACATCCCTTTCTGTGGTGGTGGTGGGGCAGCCAGTGGAAAATACGGCGTGTAGGGGTTGGTTATGTTCTCTAGATGCGCTGTGATTGGCTCCGTTTTCGATCACTCATGGGGACACTCCGTCACCACAAAATCTACGGGGAGAGCTTGAAAATTCAAGCCCCTTGGGTGCTGCCATAGAGTTACATTAGAAGTGCCCATCCAAGAAGGCTCAAGGTCATTGGCCACAGACATAATGACGTCAAATCACGTTATATCTACTGTAGCTTTGATTGGACTGATCATGTCAACATCATACTGTCACGAATTCCTCCGAAGCTGCCTCCTCTCCTTGTTACCGGCCTTCTAGACACTGCTGCTCCTCATCTCATCTTTCCATTTGTTTTGTCTTGTTTATTACACACACCTGGTTCTTATCCCCTCATTAGTATCTGTATAAGTGTTCCCTCTGCCCCCCTGTCTTTGTGTGTGATTAGTTATTGTGGAGGTGACTCTAGCTCGGTGGAGCTACTTTGTATTTTGTATTGCTGGGATATTCACCCTTGTGCCATGTTTTTCTCCAGTGTGCCATATTAACCTCTGTGCTACATACCACTGTGTTCCTGAATAAACCATATATTCTGTGATTTAACCTCCTGCGCCTGACTCCGTCCAAAATCACCCACTACATAATCACACACCAGTATCAAGGAGTCAGCAGGAGCGGAGAACATGCCTGGAGTTGTGGAGCGGGTCCGGGATCACTCCAACATGCTAACCAGCTTGGGAGAAGCGATGGATCGTCCAACACCTGGAGAGGAGAGGACCCAACCCTTCGGGACCAGCTGAGCGACCGAATCCAGCCACCTACACCGAGTGCCCAGAGGGATTCACCTATCACGACCGAGGGAGTACGACGGGACAGCGGCCCGTTGCCAGGGATTCCTCCTGCATATGCCCAGCTCCATTGGAGCGGGATAAGGTGTCCGCCCTCGTCTCCTGCCTCTCGGGGAAAGCCCTGGAGTGGGCCAACGCGGTCTGGAGTGAAGGAGGAAATGCGTTGGACAACTACGGGGCATTCGCTTGCATCTTCCTGGCAGTCTTCGATCACTCCCCCAAAGGAAGAGAGGCGGGCGAGCGACTAGTCCACCTGAGGCAGGGGACGATGACCGCGCAGGACATTGCCCTGGAGTTTCAAACTCTAGCGGCTGGGTCCGGGTGGAATGAGCGGGCCCTCAACGACCACTTCAGGTGCAGCCTGCAAGAGGACATCCGAAGGGAGCTAGCCTGCCAGGAAACCACGTTGACTTTCAACCAACTGGTGGACATGGCCATCCGGTTGGACAACCTGCTAGCTTCAAGAGGACGTCCTGGAAGTGGCCTGCCCGTTTCACCCCCCTTCAACCGGATTCAGTTCTGATGGAGCTGGGTGGTGCAGCGATCTGGGAGAACGGAGGACGACAGCTCCAGTGTCACTCTTGTGGCCGGAGAGGACATTCGGCTGGACGCTGTCGTCAGGGTTCTTCCGGGTCTGGAGGCGGCAGGCAGGGCAGTCTCATGTCACCCCAGGTAGCGCAAACCCACACTCGTTCAGAGCCCTTTGCTGCGCACTGCACCATACGCGTAAACTTCCCTGATTACCTGGTAGTTCCCCAGTGTAAGGCGCTGGGCGATTCAGGCGCAGCTGGGAACTTTATGGACAGACCTTTAGCTAATAGTCTCTGTATTACATTGGTTCCCCTACCCATTCCATTACCCATCAAAGCACTTGACAGTCTAACATTAGGGTCAGGTTTTGTTAGGGAAGTTACAGCACCAGTCACGATGATCATGCAGGAGACCCATAGGGAGCAAGTCACCTTCTATATTATTGAGTCCCCTGATTTCCCTGTGGTGTTGGGTCTTCCCTGGCTCGCACTACACGACCCCACCTTTTCATTGTCGTAGAGGGTTCTCACGGGGTGGTCGCGAGAGTGTCAGGGTAGGTGTCTAGCTGTTTCCATTGGTGCAACCACAGTGGAAAGTCCAGGCACTACCTCCACGTGAGCATTCCCCCCAAATACCTCGATTAGACCTCCGGAGTGCGTACAACCTGGTGCGTGTTCGGGAAGGGGACGAGTGGAAGACAGCATTCAGTACAACCACGGGGCATTATGAATACCTGGTGATGCCGTACGGGTTGATGAATGCTCCATCAGTCTTCCAGTCCTTTGTGAACAAGGTCTTTCAGGACATGCTGGGTCGCGGAGTGGTGGTCTACATCGATGACATTCTGGTGTATTCCGCTACGAGCGCCGAGCATGTGTCCCTGGTTCGCAAAGTGCTGGGCCGACTGTTGGAGAATGACCTATATGCCAAGGCAGAAAAGTGTCTGTTCTTCCAACAGTCCGTGTCCTTCCTCGGATACCACATCACCGCCTCAGGTGTGGAGATGGAGGGAGACCGCATTTCAGCCATGTGTAATTGGCCGAATCCAACCACGGTAAAGGAGGTGCAGCGCTTTATTGGCTTTGCCAACTACTATCGGAGGTTTATCCGGGGCTTTGGCAAGGTTGCAGCTCCCATCACCTCCCTGTTGAAGGGTGGGCCGTCCCGGCTCCGCTGGTCTGCTGAGGCTGACAGGGATTTCAGTAACCTGAGCACCATAAATCCAGAGAATGCCAGACTTTGATGACAACGTTTGATGATAAAATTTGCCCACAAGGACCTCAGCGCCACTGTCCTGTTCAAGTGAGCACAGCACAACAAGGTGAGTCCAAAAATGTAATGTACAGTGGGGGAAAAAAAGTATTTAGTCAGCCACCAATTGTGCAAGTTTTCCCACTTAAAAAGATGAGGGCAGCCTGCTTTTACTGTGGACCACATCCTGGACTGCCGGCAGGTGGGGAGGGGTCTCCAATTTCTAGTGGGCTGGGAGGATTATGGGCCGGAGGAGCGGTCCTGGGTAACTAGGAGGGACATTCTGGACCCAGGGCTGATAACAAGATTCCGTTGCCTCCACACGTAGGCGCCGTTCGTCGGGGGGGGGGGGGCACTGTTACTGGAGAGGGTCGTAGTTCCAGAGTGATCTACTAGGTGTCATCCTCCGACAATCTTAGGCACCTCCTCACTCACAGTCGGGACGAATCATCATCCTGTTGTTGTCACCTGTGTATTTATGCCCTCACTTCCCTGTGTTCCCTTGCTCAGTTTTCTCTGCTAGTTTCTCTATGTCCAGCAGTGTGTGATCGGAGACCTATGTACTGGTACTTGAGTAGTGTTCTCCCTGTTTCGTTATTTGTTTCGGTCTTAGGTAATATTTCGTATTTTTACTGTCAGACGGTTTTTGGAGACTTATTTGATCTGCCTTTCATTTATCGTGATAAATCCGTTATTTTGTATTCTGGCTTCGGGACCACCAGTAAAGATGCTTGTTTCACCATCTCTGCCTACTGCCTACTGTATATCCTGCACCGCACCTGGGTCACACCTCACCTCAACCCTTACAATATGACCAATACAATTTGATTTGATTTGATGTTCCAAACCTATTGCTAACTATATGTCTGCTGCAGAGAGACAATAGAGAGCATTATAAAATATTTTTTTATCAGTAACCAGGTTTCCATCCAACCTTTTAATGGGAGTAAAGTACCTAAAAAAATGTCATGACAGGCCTGATGGAAACAGCAAATTTGTAGGTAAACTTTCCAAATGTCGACAAAACAAAATACGCTATGCAAGGTGGGATCTTTTCATGTCTGTAAAATGTTTATGCGAGAAGTGGAGGTGGATCCGGAAACGCC